CTCTCTCTCTCTCTCTCTCTCTCGTTTATTAAGACATACATTTTTATCTAAATTCATATCATATAGTATAAAACAGCAAAATATAACAATATGGTAAAAATCCAATTGTCAACCAATTGACCATGGTTTGTTGTTGACTCCGTAGGGGACAGTTGGCATTCATTAGGCGAGTAATCAAATTCCGGACAAATGGACCGCGAGTTACTCTCAAGGCATACGTGCATTGATTTATAGTCCTTATCATTGCATTTTATCTGTATACAATTAGGAGATAAGATTACATTTATTAATACTAGCAATAACTAAAAATCTAAGATTACTAATTATATTAAATACTGTATGATAATAATTATGTTAGTCATTTAGCTAAATAGTAAGTTAAAACAAAAATTCTAATATTAATAAATTACTTTAAATATTAGATAATATTGATGTAACAAGATTCATGTAATAATAAATTTATTCAAATAATAATGTTATATGAATATGTAAATACATGATTGTGATCAAAATTAATATATTTAAAAAACTAACCTTGGCCACTTCGTCCATACAATCAACCAAATCCCACGTTAAACAACATCTGATCACAACTAGGGTGTCGTCAGTCTGCGGATCGTTCCCCGACATCAGGAAACTATAATATTCGCGCATATCGTCAACACAAGCCATGTTCTCGTAATGCAATGCATTCCCGCATTCTTTCGACACATTGGCCGTCAAATCGAGTTTAATTTGGTCCACAATACCGGCCGGCGTTAGTCTAGTAGTGGTGCCAACCGGTGTCGGGTGCTTAAAGTCCCGACACTCCGGGCCTTTATATGGAATTTCTTTGCATTTTATGTTTGCTTTTTGGCTCGAGGTTAAATCAGCGACTAGTTTGTCCAGGTCTGTTTTATCACAATTAGCCTTTATAATAGTTTACTTAATTAATTATGTGCATGAAGTAATCAATTCGAAATTAATAATTTATTATAATTAGCTTATAATAATTGAACAAGCAAAAAACTAACTTGTACAGCATCATGATAACAATCGTATGTATCATAAGGCATGCAGCAATCATACATGAGATTGTCCTTGGTCTTATTCGTGGACATCTTATCACGGTCAGCCATCACTTTCATCCAATCATTAACAACACCAGTACAACAATGGTCTAGTTGTTTACTGATCTTGGACATACACTTGTCGGATATGGGAAGATCATTGATCAATCCTAAACTACAATCACTGACTGTTAATGTTATTATTAGTGAACTCATAAATGTATACATGTTGATTTGTTTTAAATGTGAATTGGTAATAATAATGTTTTATAATTGTTATCATTAATTTTTATATATTTTATACATAATAATATATTTCGAACCTGTTGTTTTTCACATAGATTAATTTCATTTTTGACTACTTTGATTGGCAATAAATTAATAGTACTTTATAATAATGATTTTAAAATTCACTTGATTTTGCTTTAAATAGATAAGTATTTGTAAATTAAAAGTCAAATTTAAGTTTGCTAAAAAAATTGTATTAAATAGTGTACCTATTTAAATTCACTTTTATTAAAATATTTTTTGTCATTGTTATGAAACCATAAAAAATTAATTAATTAAATCTGTTTTGAGACAATATAATCAACAATCAATTAATTATTAATTAAAGTAATTTATTTGTAATTTATCTGATTGAACATAATCAATATTTATTATACAGTATAATATAAAATTGTTTAATCAATTTAATTATTTGCATCATTGTAATTAGAAATTAATAATTAAACAGTTGTTAGTTTCCCATAATAATATAAAACATAAAAAACAGTAAAACATAGTAGACTAACTGTTTATTATATAATTGAATAAATATTTTACCATTATATAAATTACAATTTTCAATTTATGAACATAGCTTAATTAAATCAAACAATAAATATCTTTTTGCTTAATACAATTTTAATAAAAATATTAATAGTACATGGTATAACAAATTATGGCAATTCAATTAAAATTATTTAATTTAGTGGATGTACAAGGTAGTAAAAATCAATAGTGGTTTTAAAGTGAGATATCGCTATTACAGATCATTATTGGTATAGGATTTTAAATATTGAAAATAAAATTTTTATCACAAAAACTAATCGAAAATAATTGTTATAATTATCGAGAAATTGTTTTAAACAAAAATTAATTCAAAATTAATTCATGGTGATAAAAATAATTAAAACCATACTTACGTCACAAAATTAAATAATTATAATAATATTAGTACTTATAAGCGCTTAATAATTAATTAATTGGCAAAAATAGACTAGATAGCTTTTTAAAATGTCATTAAACATTAAAATCGGGGACAAATAATAATTATCATATAGTATTTCGATAACAATTTATCGTTAATTCTGT